GCACTCTCACACCACCACCCAGCACAGATCAATTCCGTAGCTGAGACACTCATCTCCAGAACAAAATGCTTAGCTGATGAACAACACCTAAAAACCGAACTAAACACTCTCACCAACGTACTAACAGCCAATGGATTTCAAAGAAAGAAGATCACCCACCTAATCCAAAAAGAAACCCCAACCAAAATCCAAGACAGAGAACAAGAGAACGGCAAAGCCCTCCTCCCATATATAAAAGGCACTACAGACAAAATCAGCAAGATCCTCCAAAAACACAACATTAAAACAGCATTCTGCACAAACAGAAAAATATCCACCATCCTAAGAAACCCTAAAGACAAAATCGAGTTAGAAAACCAAGGAGTATATGAAATCCCCTGCACTGCCTGCCTCACCACATACATTGGACAAACTAACAGAAGAATAAGTGCACGCGTTGAAGAACATAAGAACTCAATCAAAAAAGAAGAACCAACCTCTTCCCTGGTCCAACACCTCAAAGCCACAGGACATGAGATTGACCTTAAAAATACCAGAACTATCGCCAAAACTGAACACCACAGCAGCAGAATAATCAGAGAAGCCATAGAGATAGAAAAACGCCCACACAGCATGAATAAAAGAGATGACACCTCCCGCTTACCAGCCATTTGGAAACCCGCCCTCATGAACAGACGAGTACCCAACATGATAAATGACACCAGACCCACACCCATGAGGGCCACACAAGATGCCACCACCACACTTCCACGTAAAAATCAGACTCACACCCACACAGAAGATGAGACACGACCACAGACCAGAAGCCGCACTGCAGCTGCATCACTACCCACTTCAAACTCCTCTGAACCATACATGAAGCGAACTGACCCCCACCATGAAGATGTGGCACGACCACGAACTCGAAGCCAAACGAACACAGACCCAGACCCCAAACTCAAAGCCATATTAAAAACCCAAAATGCTACATCACAGCCACCTGCTCAGGACATCACATCAGAAAACTCAAGAAATTACACCTCAAGAACTCAAGAAGTCACAACACAGCAAATGACCCAGGATATCACAGCACAAGACCAAGGATACCACAGCAATAAATCTCACAAGGTCATCACACAACCCATTACCCAAGCTGTTACTACACAGGAGGCTAATCGAAAAGAGATCAAAACACAAACGACCCAGGAGATTACAACGCAAGACCCAGGATACCACAACAAAAGAACTCACAAGCCCATCACACAACCCATTACCCAAGCCGTTAAAACACAAGAGGCTAACGACCCAGGAGATGACAGCACAAGATCCAGGATATCTCTACAACAAAAGGCCATTACACAGCCCATTATACCAACATCAACTCCATCAACCAATCAAGAGGCTGCAGCACAGCCAACCAGCCCAGCACACCATCCCCCACCACTTGTATATATAGAGAGATGGCAGCTCCGGTCACACACTGCTTGCACTGGCACTAAGCCGAAAGCACCAGCCTGAAGATGGCGAGTGGGACCTCGCCGAAACGTTGCCTAGATACTTTGAATCTTACGCGGGAGAGAACCCGAATAACCAAAGATCCACATACAAATACCCGCGAGAACCTCAGAAAACAAATATATATATATATATATATATTCGTAGATTTTCACGGGTACAGGTATGTAGGTCTAGGTGTGTTCGGGTTTTTTCCCGTATAAGATTAAGAGTATCTTGGCAACATTTTGGCAAGGTCCCACTCCCCATCCTTAGGCTGGTGCCTTCGGCTTCGTGCCAGTGCAAGCAATCTGCATTTATTTCAAAAAATAAATTCACTTTAACAAGAATTGAGAGCAATTCTCATTAATACTTTTTTTTTGAGCTGCTAAACCTCTATGTATTCTAATATTCTTGCATATTGGACTTGAGCTGATACTGTAGGTATGTCTGTATACTTCTTTGGACCCTAAACAACCAGGGACTCCCTATGATGACCCTGCTGCTCTTTCTAGGAGATTTTAATAAAATTCAGGTTTGACATTTCCCAAAATATGATCTTCATAGAGGGGGAGACAACAAAAGAAGAATCCAAGACCTATTGCCATGATGCACATGGTCCACCCAAATCCATAGCTCCAATCAAATACATGTACGGTATTTACTGGGAAGACCACACGTGTTGAAATCATTACAGCATAGATGACAAGGCCCATTAATGAGAATATGGCTGCAAAAAATGAAAAGATTAAAAATTAGTTACTAACACATGAAAACAGTAGGAAAAGAGAATGGATTGTATTTTTTTTTTTTTTAAATGGCGTTTTGGGAGAATTCTGACTCCTGTAGAATACGAACTCCTATGGTAGTTTATATTCTATTTGCCCAACCTATCTACTATTGTGGTTATAACATCAGACAGATTATTTATGCAGTCCAGTATTTGGCAGCATCGTAAGATCTAGCCTTGTAACTTGAGACCATTTTTAAGTAAAGAGGCTAAGGGTCAACTGGAAGCAAAGCATGATATTTACCACTAAGCTACAATCAGTGGCGGATTAAGGCTCGATGGTGCCCTAAGCACTGACAAATCTTGGTGCCCCCCTCCTTTTGAACATACAAGATTTTTTTTTACAAATCTTCATTGGTGTTTTTTCTTTCTCAACTTTGTGGTGCCCCCTTTGGGCCTGGTGCCCTAAGCACATGCTTAGTCTGCTTATACCTCTGGCTACAATCCTTCCTTATTTCAAGATTTGAAGCTCTGACAAGAAATACCACAGAAATGGTGGTGTGAGATTCTGAATCAAAATTTACACTAGAATAATGAAGGTAAACATACAATTTAGTTGTTCAGCATTAAAGATGATGTACGGTGGATACCTTTTGAGTCATGTTTATGTAGAATTACTCACAGGATGAACAGAAATTTAGAATGCTTGTGAATCAACTAAAATAAAATAAATTAGGGTTCTAGAATGCCATACATATATCAGAAAAATCAGAAGAAGCTGGTGATTAATTCAGAAAAATTTAGGAAAAGCAGGACAGCTCTTTTTAGATTCTCCTTCCCTGCCCTCTGTTTCAAGTTATGGATATTGTCTTGTTCCCTGGTTTAAAATGAAATAGCAATAGCACTAGTAATAGCACTTAGACTTATATACCACTTTGCAGTGCTTTACAGCCTTCTCTAAAGCAGTTTACCAAGTCAGCATATTGCCCCCAACAATTTGGGTCCTCATTTTACCCACCTCAGAAGGATGGAAGGCTGAGTCAACCTAGACAATGCTTGTACTTTTTTAAAATAATAATAATGCTACTATTTACTATTTTCTCCATTGGTTATGACAGAGTATCATTGCTATTAGTCTGCTTTTATGAAATACAGGTAGTCCTTGACTTACAACCATTCATTTAGTGACTGTTCAAAATTACAACAGCACTGACCATATGACTTATGACCAGTTCACACATTTATGACTGCTCCATAAATGGTCACGTGATCAAAATTTGGGCACTTGTCAACTGACATGTATTTATGTCAGTTGCACTGACCCGGGGTCATGTGATCATCATTTGTGACCTTCTCAGCCAGCTTCTGACAAGGGGAGGAGCCAGATTCACATAACAACTGTAGTGATTTGCTTAACAACTGTGGCAAAAATTATCATAAAATGGGGCCCTGACTCATTTAAGAAATGTGGTTGTAAGTTGAGGTCTTTCTATACTGCTGTTCTGTTGAGTTTCCCGAGAAAATGTGAAATGGCACAAATTAAGTCTGCTGGGTGGGGGATTGGACTTGATCAGGGGTCTCCAACCTTAGCAACTTTAAGACTTGTGGACTTCAACTCCCAGAATTCCTCAGACAGCAAAGCTGGCTGAGGGATTCTGGAAATTGAAGTCCACAAATCTTAAAGTTGCTAAGGTTGGAGATCCCTGGACTAGATGACCTACAAGATCCCTTCCAACTCTGTTACTCTGTAAATCTTTTCTTCATTCTTATACTGCTATTTTCTTACCACCATAGAAATAGCTAGTGTCTCTCCCAGAAGTGGGATCCTACCTGTTCCACTACTGGTTTGGTGATCGCCCACACATACGTGCAACCCTAACGCACACATGCAGCTTTCCCCACACCAGCTGAGGCCTGCAGTGCCAATCGGCTGAGAGGATAAAGAAGAGAAAAGCACGAGGGCGGGTGAGAGGGCCGATCCTCCACTTTTCCCTTCTTTCTCCTCACAGCTGATCCTCGGAGGCTTTTTTTATACTACCAGATACCACCAGTGGTCTCTCCAAACCAAATCTGCTCTGCCATATTTTACAATATTTTACTTCTTTTGCTTTGTATACGTAGCCTTACCAGCAACAAAACACAAGCCTCCTATGCCTCTAATGAAGTTGAAGCGAAGTGTCGGGATGGCAAAGGCAATGATGGACAAGGCAAAGCAGATGCAGATGAGTACAAATCCAACTAAGAAGGTACCAGCTGCACCTCTACCCCAAGCTGGAAATAAAAACAGAAAACAGTGGTTCCATCCTTTATGCCTGTTCCTGGCAAGATACAGATCTAAAATAACATTCAGTCATTCAAGAAGGTAAGGTACATCCATTTATCCATGTTTTATGTCATAATGGTTTATCAAATAAACCACAAATGGATGAGTTCACATACATTAGTAAGGCATTTGCCATGGCTTTCCAGACGTAATAGCTGGGTTTCCATGATCTGCTAAACGAAATCAAATGGCTCAAAATGCTTTGTGAACTCCAGTCATTACATCCATATAGTTTTATCTGCCAGGGGCAATTATTTAGTGGAACAGGTTCTTTGATTTTAAAGCGGCTACAGTTTTAGAGTAAGCCAATGGTAGGCGTTCATTTTTTCCAGGCAAACCTTTTCTGTTAGGCACCATATCTTTGTCTCTGTTAAATAAGGCTTTCTGGGTTATTTTAATATTTCAATAACCTGTTTGAACAGGAATGACTGTGGGATGCATAAGCAAATTATTTCTGGTTCTCATGAAATCTCTTTCATGTCTTGCCATTAGTGAAGAATTGACAGCCATAGTGACATTGAGTTATTTGGACCAAAAATACAACAGAAGTAGGAATAACTTGAGAATGCAGCAGAGAAAGGAATGTAGTGGGATCTAAACCTTAACCGCCTAAACACTTAGGAGTATTTCTTTGTTTATTTGTTTCAACTGAGATGCTCATATAATACTGAATTTCTCTATACAAGTTAAATCCAGGAAAGATCCTGGCATGTCCAATGTCAAAAACATTTTGCTAAGAATAATCGGCTCAGAATTTATAAAAGCATTTGTAAAAGAGTAGAAAGCTTTATACAAAGATATTAAAACTGAGAAGATCGTTTTGAAAAGCTGTGTGCAATGAGCAGTGGAGGCTAATTGGGATTTTAGAGATCCAAAGGCAAGAGATGTATACCATGACCTTGTGAAAAGAGCACATGGCATAAGAAATATATGTTCCACTTTTATTCGTGCAGCATTTTTGCTTGGAATGGCATTTTAAACATTCTTGGATATAGTCTTCAGATTTTGCCCACCAATCTAGAATAAATAAACTACTTAAGGATTCTTCTGAGGGTTTTACATTTTCTACACATGAAAATATAACTGACTCTATAAAAATGATTGAATCTTATTACATAAAAATGATTGAATCTTATTACATGGTATATTTTTCACTGAAGGCATTTGAAATCCTTCATTGCCGAAGATTTTTTAAAATCTTTCATTTTACATTATTTGGCTTGCACCCTGCATAACCAGTGCAGCCTTCAAATATTTTGTTCCAAAGAGCAGCCAGAAAATAAAAGTGTTCATGACATAACACTATTTCCAAAAGGAGAAAAACATATTTGATATGCTTCCAAAATGTGTTTGATGGAAACATTGATATCAGTACATTCAGAAAGACTGAACATTACACAAATCCATTAATTTAACCCTATTATGTCACTGTATACATCCACCCAAATAATTTCTTAGACTTTAAGACTGGCACCAATACAAAAAATCAAAATCATCATTTTCGAACATTTAAGTTGCTATGTTTTCTACTGACCAAGGCAAAAATAACAGCTACAAATTCCCCAGACTGAGAGTACAAATAAACAAAGTGCAAAGAAAAAAGGAAGATATATCTTTATAGCATCTACTTGCACAATTGCGCTTTCTGACAATCAGTTCCTTCTTTTTTAAAAAAAAAAACATACACACATTACTAAGCATTTCTAATTTGGAGGAAAAAATGAAGTAATGATAACAGTGAGATCTACTTGGAGTTACATGTACAAAAATGTTTTCAGGCATACGATGCCCCTAAATCGTTAGTGTAATTTGCACTTTATACACACACACACACACACACAAATTGGTTCACAGTGTCTCCTAGAGATCCTTACCAAAATCCATGAGAGATGTACATCGCCAATCATCTTCTAAAGAGCATAATCTCCATAATGAGCCTTCACTCACAAATGGACCACTTTGTGAGGTTATCCAGCCCCAACCAGCTAGTGAAATGATGCCAAAGATCATTGCTAAGCCCAGCAGAAGAGGCAAGATCCACCTGCAGCGGGTATAATCCAGACCATACTGAACCATCTTGCTGTTGGGTCTTTTCCAGTCACTTTAAATGCTAAGCAAAAAGATCTTTCTGCAATGGCTTTGGTAGCCTGAGGGGAAAAAAAACAGACTGGGGTAAATAAAATGTGTGTGAATGGAAACGAGATAGATCTGTAGAGAAAAAGAAAGAAAGGAAAGCAGAGAGCAGCCTTATGATCCAAGCAGACCCTAAAGAAAACTCCACCTAAATCTCTATGAGCAAGTCACTACAACAACCTGTTGATCTGGAAAGAAAATTCAGGGTTGGGACTATGCTCATTTTAGAACCTGTCTCCTCCTTCTTTGTCAGCTATTAATTAAGATAAATGTAGATTATATCCATTTCCATTAGCATCTACTCTTTTCATGGCAGTAGCATTTCACAACAAACAGCACTGAAGTGCTTTTGAGGAGAGCAATGAAAGTTAAGAGCATATTTTTGGTGAATAAACTCACCCCAGTCTTTAAAAAACAAGATATTGAACAAATTGTTGAGATTTTTCACTGCTAGGAGTCTGAACAGCAAAATTCAAGATGAAAGCCCCATCTGGGCATCTGTACTGTGAAGTGATTTTTATTGCAAAGCAAAAAAAAAGTTCTAATTTTGAATAGTCATATATCTCCAATGATAACTAAGAGCTGTATTAGCAGAAAAGATGTAGCTTCTTCTGTTGTATGATTATGTGACATCAGATTGTACTATATCCCTGATCCTTCTTAGCAACATAAATACACCTCTAGGAAACATCCAGTGATAGGGATTTCATAGTTTCCACATCCTGTGAGAGGCATAGGACAGTTTTCTTGGGCCCTGGAACTACAATTCCCAGAACCCCTAGGCAGAATTGGCCATGCTCGGAGTTGTAGTTCCAACTCAGTGGGAAGGTACAAAATTGGAAACAGTGAAAATAAGCAAAGGCTATCATATCCAGGCTCCAAAAAGAAGACAGAAAATTCTAGTTCTTTGTTGCTATCCAGTGATTGTCCAGAGTTCTGCAGCCCTGAGTTGTAAGTTTATTTACTCCTCAAGAGGGCTATATTTACAATGCGGGAGCTGGACTGAGAGCCACAAAGTAGATGTGACTACGGTAGGTTTGCTTGTTTTATTTTAAAACAGAAGACAATATTCTAATGTTCATGCATTTCCCACATCAAAAGAGTGGAAATTTGTGACCATCAGAAGGTGCTTTGGGAGACATTGGTGTAACAAAAGGTGGCCTGCCCCTTTTCACTTTAGTAGTGTTGCATGCATGCACAAAAGGTGCATGGCTTGGACTGGTAATGTCTTTTATTACCAGGTTAACAACTTTTTTTTTTTTGAAACAAATTTTATTGATTTTAAAGACAAACAAACCATCGTTAACCATTAAATACATAAAACCTCTCCATTATTAATTTCCCCCTCTATATATATATTTGTCCTCTTCCTTCCCACTTATAACAAGAAGCCAAGTTTTTACCTTTTATAAAAAAACAACAGGTTTCTCAATAGCCATTTGTTGATTCCATAAGGAAGGAGAGTGAACTTTCCCTTTCAGCACTCAATTTTGCCACTTGAAGTCCTCCTCTGGAAACGAAGTATTATTCAGAAAACCATAGTTCTCAGGATTAAACGCCTCTTAAAATCCTGGGTCAGCCACAAAAACTTTCTCTTAACAACTTTCTCCTCTCTTCCTCCTGCTCAGTCTTACCCAGCTGCCGGCTTCTTTGAGGCGGCCATTACAGACCGCCGCTCGACCGCCTTGGGAGAGGGGGGTTTTGCCGGCTGGAAAGGGGGTCTGCAACACCCCCAAACCCCTCACCAGCTCCCCCCTATCTTCGGCTGCCTCTTCGTGGCAGCCTTAGCCTCCAGATCCGTGGATCGGAAGCACCAAAGCGGCTAGCGCGGCAGGGATCGCGCAGGATCGCAAATCCCTGCCGCTAGCGAAGCCGACAAACCGGAAGTTCCCCAGGTTAACAACTTTTATCTACCTGGCACAATGGAGAAGCTGCCTTCTAGGGAGAAGTAACAAGATCTTTTGCAATGAGAAAATATGGACAATACACAACATTCAGCAATTTTATTGCAAGCAAAGCTTTATTGATTCCAAGCAAATCACTCATTCTTCATATATACTCCATCAGCCCTCTCCACCAGGTTTACTAAACTTAATCATGAATTATTAGATAAGAGAGCCAGGTTGCACGGTGAAGGGGTACACATTTTGGGGTCTTCCAAAAAGCCATATTTGCATATTCCTTGATGCTGATACAAAGTCTAGTGCAGGGGTCTCCAAACTTGGCAACTTTAAGACTTGCGGACTTCAACTCCCAGAAGTTGCCAAGTTTGGAGACCCCTGCACTAGTGTAATAACAAATTATTAATTTTCAGGTAGAAAACATCTAATAATGGAGCAGCTAGTTCACAGTCATCATATCAGCTTTCCTACAATCACAATTGATTATTCAGATTTTGCTGTGGCCTCAAAATGGGATCATTTTGGCCTGTTTTATCAAAAGATGAAACCAGCTGAGAGTACAGTGTGCTGGAAGGAATGATAGTGATGTCAAAAATATTTGGTTTATGGAGTGTTTGTGCTATCCTGTATAAAGGGGAAAGCAGCAAAAATGAATACAAAAACATAATGAGGTTTAGTTTGTTAGAAGGTATTTAGTTTGTCAGAAGGTATTTAATAGAATTATTCCTGAAACTTTTGCAAATGAGCAAAACTCATTTACACATAGCACAACACAGCTTTATACCACACAGAAAATGCTCTGATCAGGCTTCTATTTTTCGGCAATTCTTTGAGAAATTTCTGAATGTGAGAAAGTTATTTATTTGTATACCATTTTTATTATTTTTATACAAACTCAAGGTTGTGACAATGTATTTTCCTCCTATTTTCCCCCCAATAACAACTCTGTGAGGTGAGTTGGGTTGAGAGAGATTGACTGACCCAACTCACTTAGCCGGCTTTCATGGTTAAAGCACGGTCTCCTACGTTCTAGTCCGGTGCCTACCGCAAACTAGCTCTCAGGTTAGTTGTATATACCGTACAATGTTTTTTTTAAAGTACACAATAAAATTAATAAAGAGGAAGTATATGATGAAGTACATAAATTATGGAATATGTTGCATGAGTATGGAACTAAAAGCTAGATGCTGAATGTAATAAGTGTGGTTTATGAGAAAAGTAAAGCAGGCCTGAAGATAAATGGAATTCTTAGTGACATTGAACAGGAACAGGCCATAAAACAAGTTGTGTGATACTCATCAATGTTGTTTAATATATTTGTGGATAAATGCACTATATAAACATTACTTGGGGTGACATGGTTGGGAATGGTTGGGAATATGAATTATATGTACTTTTATATACAGCAGATGCTATGTTGAGGATGTGATGTTATTAGATAAGAAGCCATATGATTTGTCAGAAATGTTAAATTGACTTTATGATGCAGTGAAAAGCAAAGGTCTGAAATTAATGTACTAGAAAATTAATGTACCAAAGATCAATGAACTGTGTTTGACAGGGAAACTGGATTAAATTATTATAAGATATCCATAATAGGCAGTGGTGGGATTCAAAAATTGTTACTACCGGTTCTGTGAGCCTGGCTTGATGGGTGTGGTGTGGCTTGGTGAGCGTGGCTTGGCAAGGGAAGGATACTGCAAAATCTCCATTCCCTCGCCACCCCACTAACCTGCTTCCCAGTTCTGTTCTCCTGTGCAGGGCAACAAAAGAAGACCCAGCCAATCAGCTGGGACTTGGGAGGCAGAGAATAGATGGGGTGGGGCCAGTCAAAGGTGTTATTTGCCGGTTCTCCAAACTACTCAAAATTTCCGCTACCAGTTTTCCAGAACTTGTCAGAACCTGCTGAATACCACCTCTGATAATAGGTGAAATCAAAGCAACTAGATGAATTTGTGGTCCATCTATTTCATTTCATTCCTTCTTACCACTGCGTCTCCTTCAATTACCTTTTGTGCCTGCAATGGAATGCCTCCTTCCCCCTGGCCACTGGTCACAACCCCCACATGGCCATTTTCTCCCTGAATGCCAAGCTGCCAGCTATCTTAGGTTAAGTCTGGATACAAGGAAGAGCTTCCTAACTGATCCAGGATGCTTTGCAACGTAATGTATTTTCCTTCAATAGGAGGAATATAATTCTAATTCTTATTCTTCTAATAGTGGCTAGATGGTCAGCTTTTCAAAATGCTATAGGGAATACTGACTAAATGCCCTCTAATCTTCCTTTTAATTCTGTGGTAACCATGCTTTTTTTTTCTTGCAAACCCACCCCTTGGTTCCATATAACACAAAGGGCAAAGCATTTCTCATTTTTACTTTATTCCTTACCACACACTTCAACTGGTACTTGAAAGTCTTCAAATATCTTCATTTATTTTGCCATTGTAACAAGGTACACAAGTTCATCTATTTGCCCTTAGTTTTAAATATTTGTGTTGGAAAACAGTAGTTTTGAAGTAGAGAAGAAAGAGAAGGTTGTGTTTATGGTAGGCTGGTGGTAGATCCAAGACAAAACTATTCATTTATGTCTTTCAGAAACAAGGGATAAGCTCAGCTGTATTCAGAGTGGTGCAACTTGACTGCTAATCAGCCTTATTAGTCAAAATTATTTGCCTGATTAGAATTTTTTACCTTTAAAAAAAAACACGACATTCTCAGAATCTATGTTGCTCCATCCATAGAATGTCCTGTTATGAGGATAGTTCCTCCTCTTTTTGGGGCAGAAGCCAAGAAGCCTGATCAGGGAGCTTCTTCCCATAAACATTTTCTTCATTCATTCCACCAGTCTGCCAGTTGTCCTTCAAGCAATGTAAACATACTATGATCTTTTCCTTTATTATTTTAATATGTACTTTTCCTTTTCAATCCCCAGGCTTTGAACTACAAGATTAACTTCTGTAGGGACCGGCAAGCAACAGTGTAAAATATATTATCTGATGGGAAGTTTAGCATGCCAATCATAATAACAGCACCTTTAGCAGTATCAGTATCAAGACAAAATGATGACAAAATAACACAGATGATCAGAAAATGGGGGCCGATTCCTTTTCCTTCTTGGTTATATCCATAATTATTTATCCTTTTCATACTACTAAGTTTATTCTGTGAAAGGTTTATGATTAAGGGGATTAGGAGGGATACCTATGACATTTTTTCAGGCATAGAGTAAAATTAGGTTTTGCAAGCATAAAAGCAGATGAGGTTCTGCTTGCTTTTTGTACTTGGACAATAGATCAACAAACAATTGTTGCAATGAGTTGCTAATTGAAACCTGTGTGTTCAAAGATACGTGACTGAAACCAGAATGTGAGACTTGTTTTCATCCAGCAAAATAATTACCAAGGATCTGATTTTCTTAAGAGTTTGCTTCTTGATGTTGAAATAAACCATTTTTAATGCTGAACTGCTTTTAGAACATTTCATTTCTCTACTATTGTCCCCAGAAGCCTCAGCGCAATTTTATATGCAATGTAGGTCATTTGAATAAAGAAAATAAGCTCAGTATAAAATCAATTTAAAAGCCATTCATACAGAAGGCTGAAAAGACCAGTATTTATAGCTCTCTTGAACATCTAATGTTATGATCTTTCCTATCTTAGTGAAGCATTGATATTAACTAGGCCAGGGATCTTCAACCTTGGCAACTTTTAAGATTTATGGACTTCAACTTCCAGAGTTGGAACTTCAACTCCCAACTCTGAGAGTTGAAGTCCACAAGTCTTAAAGTTGCCAAAGTTGGAGACCCCTGAACTAGGACATCACAATGACCTCCTTGCAGGATGAAGTCAATGAAAGAACAGGTGTTAAGTGATACCATTTTTAAAAAAGTATATTCACGTTGTCAGGAGCCACAATCCAAAACTGATCAAATATAGTCTTGCAAGGTTGTCTGGACTGCGGCACAATGTCAGCCCAGAAGGTAGACTTCATCTGCAAAGAACTAATTAAATGTGATGCAGTCAGATATATATTCTTGGCAGAGTTTGGTCAGGGAAATCTAAAAGGTTCATATAATACTGCATGTTCAGACTAATTATGGATGAGCCCAACTGTGCTTCGAAACTGCTTCTGCTATGGCGAATTATCAGGGGTTGCTTGTAAATGATGCGTAAAGCCAATGGCATCCCACATTCTCTTACTTAAAAAGCGAATTCTATTAAAAGTAATGGACTTATTTCCATAAAAATGGATGGAAGATTTCTGCCTTCAATTGTAATTACAATATTTATAGAACACATAGGCAATATTTCATAAAACCAATGTTCTATCACAATCTAATACAGTATAAAATACAACACAACTTTAAACAATGTGGATTCATATGAGAATTTCTTCTTTACTTTAAGCAACTTTTATTAACTCATGCAGTAATGGGCAGACACCTTTTGTGAATAATTGTAAACATACAAAAAAGTCAGATCTGAAAATTATAATTAGAATATACAATATTTCTGCAAATACAAAATAAGCTTCTACCAAAAAGTACAAAATATATGGTATATAACTTTTTTTAGTGATGTACATTCAGAGGGCTGTCAGGTTAACAATGGATTTAATGATATTAAAATATCTTAATGTAAATTAAAGTGTTCACATATTCCAGTCACAGATTCTATCCAATATTTTCAGTGATTATTTAATTTTCCTACTGAGATTAATGATATTCTCTGTAATCTTCTCTATATTTAAAATTAAGAATGGCTGAACTCTATGTCCTGTTGGGATTCTGAAGTATGTACTGTGTGAACCTGGACATTCTGACTGCCAAAGGCATATCTGTTTACACAATGGCTACCACTATGTGTGTTGACAACTAGGCAGCAACTCAACAGAAATTATTTTAAAATGGCAATGTGACACGATTATTCCCCTTAACCCATTTCATCAATGCTTTGCACCACTGCAATTTTTCATTGCCTTTGTCGTGCTAGGCTTACACCGAAGTACTACTTTTATTTTGGAATACTCTGAGGACTCTACATGAGATCCATAGGTATTCTTGTAAATAAATATGTCACAGACTGGCATTTAGTTTTGCAGCATGCAAACATTCCATATATTTTAATTAAAAAATAAAGCCCATTGCTGCAGAAACCTGATTAGCCCTACTAGAGTTTTCCTAAGGTTCTCTGCACCCACTGACATCACACTGCCTATCTGTGAGCTATGCTGCTTACATTTGGAAAGTCAAGTCTACATTATTATTCCACTACAAAGTAACTAATCCTGCAGAACCTTATCCAAAAGTTTAAAAAATCAACCATACATTGCCGCTATCTTTATCCATCCTTAGATTCAATGCCATTTGACTCCAAAATATGTATAAGGGGTGCAGTCGTGATAAAATGGAATGAAAAGATTGGCAGCAAAGAAGCACTTTCTAACTGCAACTATCCAATAAACCAGCTTTGTTTTTTTGCCTAATAAGTTTGCCATCTAATAGTTATTTGTTTGGGGGGGGGGTGTTTTTTTGCTTTACATCTATATACTAAGAATAAAGTTGTACTATCAGCTATTGAGGAGCAAGGAAATTGAAAAGTATAACTCTTAATGTTTTACCTTTTTCCTAATTTCAATCCATGAGACACATTCAATGTATTAATGTTAAAAAGTATGCCGGTAAATTCAGATGGAAGATTGTGAGCATTACTACCAATGGCATTTATGCATTCTCTCTCAAAAGATTTGTTTAACCAGAGTGGAGGACTAGAAGAAACACAAAATAGCTAACTACTCTAATTACTTGAATGGAGCAGACTTATTGTATTCTTAACCTTGTCTAGAAGCATATAATGGGGGGGGGCAGGGATGCTATCACATAAATTCTTTAACAAGGGAAATCTGCACACACAGAATACTATAGTGTTAAATCGTTTAGTATCAAGTAAGCTATGAAGCATTGCTATAACAGAAATGCCGATAAAATAATATAAACAGAATGTAGTGCTTAGAAGATTGCATACCAAGTGTATAAAAGACTACATTTTCAAACATTCTTTTATTAATACATATTTGGATAAGAATTTTGAACCACAGGCTAGAAACAAAAGCTTAAAATTGTTTGACAATTTAAAAAAATCCCTTATATATTTATTCAATAAAATATTGTCTTGGAATAAATCACCTCACCAAAACCCCTGTCCTTGGCCAAAAACAATTAATTCTTGAAAAGAATTATTATTAGTTAACAAAATTCAGAATGCAATCTTTCTCTTTTTTTTAATAAAATAAGTCTGAAAATGTGAATGTCTAAAAATAAACTGTTATTCAAACAAACAAATAACCCTATGTCAGAAACAATATTGCTTTATTTCCTCAGAGTATCTTCTATAAAGTCCACATCAAACTGGTTAAATGCCATCATGCCTATAGGGTTTTATGTTACCCAGGACTTCATCTTCCCAATTGGGAAGACAGCAGAAAAAGAAGGCACAACCTATCGCAATCACTGTACTTGCCCAACCAAAACCATAAGCCCAGCTGAACATGTTGCTTCCCGTCAATGGAATATCTTCAGTGTATTTCACTGGGTAGATGACCAAGCCTAAGATCTGGAAAGCAGCTGGGTAGAAACAAGGAGGAAAGAAAGGCATTAAATAAAATCTCACACCACACAAAAATTTGCAGCAAATTGTATTTACATTAGAAGAGATTAGGATGGTCCCAACCTTGCTAGCCTTTTGTAAGGTCCTAAAGACTTATCTCTGTGCCCAAAATTAGGGTCTCAAGCGTATGGAGGGATTCATATTCCTGCTGCATTAGCGTTTGTTGACTGGGTTATTTCCTTGGCTGCCATGCATTTTAATTATTACACTGTAACAATATGTTGTAATTGTATTTTTATTTAATATATTTGTTGCCCAATCACTTGCTGAGATTGGTGGCTTTACAAATTGATTGATTGAATAATGAGGTATTGTTGATATAGTACAAGATACCAGACTGTAATAATAATTGTTTATATTCATAGATATTAAATTTCCTAATTAAATCTCTAAAGTTTCAATATTCTTTCTTGCATGCTATCTCACAAAATGGAGTGGAGTGGCAATCTAATCTAGGGAGAATCATCCTGCATAAAAGAGATGACTCAACTATGCCAACGTTCAATGACCTACCTCTGTAATTATTAGTAAGACCAATCATTGGTCTTACCAATAATTAGATTTTTCAAGTCTGTTTGTTAAACACTTAGAAAAAAATTATATTATTGACTTTATTTGCTATCAACAGTTGATAATTACTTGTAAAAAAATTAAACATTCATCACACACAATGTATGAAGCATCCCTATGTTATTGTGTATAACAATCAAACAAATGAATATTATAATGTGGTACACCTGTTACACACAGAATTAGGAGCCATTAGACATATTCCTTGTCAAAACCAGAATCCAGCACAACTAAATTTCACTGTCCAATCATTTATTTTAAGAAGTTTTTCCCTAACTTTCCATTGGAACCTGCCTGTCCAATCACTTATTTTAAGAAGTTTTTCCCTAACTTTCCACTGGAATCTGCCTCCCTGTAACTTCAGAACATTGTTGAACATCTTACACTTTGGGATAACAAAAATCGTGGCTATTTGCTATGTAATATTCCCTCAGATATTTGATGATTGTTAGCAAATCCTCCAAATACATTTGGGGAGCTTTCTGCTATTGTTGTTGCAGAGCTTAATATATTTAGTCTTTCATGTGTTTTCTCACTGAATTTTTCAATTCTATAATCATATTGGTCTTCTTTGAAACTGTTAAAATTTATCTGAATTTTCTTCAATTATGGCACCCAAAACTGGCCAGATCTTCAAGAATGGTTATGACTACCGCAGAATAGAGTGGAACTCATAACCTATGATTTATAAAATATATTTCTATTAATGCAACTTAAAACCATATTTGACTTTCTGCAGCCATGCATATTCTAAGCATGATCAACTGCAATTTTAATTTTTTCGCATATAACATTACTAAATCAGGTTTCTCCTGTGCACATCTGATTTCTTTTTCTTGTGATAAACTGCATTTGCCTTTGCTCAATTTTACTCTGTTATTTCCAACTCTGCTTTCTACCCTGGGGAGGATCCATGGGCAGTTGACTGTGAGGCACAATTTTGGATGTTGTATTTGGAGGGAGGGTAAAGTGTGGGAATAGTAGTGTTTTGCCTTTCCCATTCCCACTCTTAATGCCCCATATATGCCAAAATAAGACAAAAAACCCATTACCCTCCTCAACTCTATCCTGCAGCCTTCCAAAAACCTGAAGGTTGAGTTACAACTTCCAATTCTCAGAAGTTGCTCAACTTGACTTAACTTATTAAAATAATTTTGATTTGTGCTTTCATCTTTAAGGATACTGGCAGTCATGCCTAATTCTATCTTCAGCAAATCTGGCTGGCATTCCTTTCACCACCTCCCCCAAATCATTGATAAAAACGTTGAAGGGTGTGAGACTCAGATGAAGGGTCTAGTTGAGTTTCTGCACTACACTCATGGTTTCTGAGTGTAATAAATCATGATTGGATAACCTTTCACAGTATAGTAATCTATAGATTATGCTTCACAAATCACCCTAAATTCATCTAAGACAATAAACCCAAATATAGAAACCAAATTGCATAAATGATCTCAAGCTAGCTGTAGTTCAACCATAGCTAACTTGCTACATATGATCCTATGAGCTTTTTTGTTAAATATTTTGAAGAGATTAAGTTATATTATGTCCACAATATAGAAGGGAATATATTTACGTATTAAATATATTTTTGCAAATTAATGTAATTGCAAATGCAAATAAC